TTGGAGAATTATACAGTTTATTGTAAAAATAGCAAAAAAACTTGGTACTTCACAACGAGGATGCAAAACTGCCAACTAAATAAGCACACACTTTGCCTGCACTAAAGACAAATGGCGTAGTTTCAAATGAGGATACAAAATTACTTATTAAACGATTATCACAGTTTTTATTGGAAGAGAATACTGTGTTTGCAATGGGAATACAAAATTAGGAACTAGCCAAATATGCAGTTTACTGGCAGCGGCGAAGAATACTGTACTTTACAATAAGAGTACACAATTACCTATTAGATAGGTATACGGTCTATTTGTACCAGAAAAAAGATTGTAATTTACAATAAGAGCACACTGTTGGGTGCCAGACAATTGTACAGCTTAGTTCCGATGTGACACTTAATGACGCTCGTGGATTATCAAGCACTGAAATAAGAACTTGAGAACCTGATAGAAGGAAGTTAAAAGGAATGATTTTTGAATCAAGAATTTGGTTATTTTTTTTCTTCTGTTGGTTACGTTTTTTTTACTGTTTATGTCTTAAATACTGTTAATAGAAGTATTTTCTTTGGCACAAAATCGCAGTTTTTGCTGTACAGCCTGCTTCACCATCTATGGAATGGTTCTGAATGCAAAATTTTGCTCAAAAGTTAGGTGAAATAAGAATTTGTCTTGAAGTTAGGCGTTCTTTTGTCGTAGATCTTCTAACTAAACTCGTTGCCGGCTACCACTTTTAGTCGTCTTGTCTTCACTTCTATTCTCAGAACTCTGTGCGTTATGGACGTCAAATGTTGTTTATTCCTAAAATAATAAGTTTTCTGAATTTTTAAGAATTTTGGTTATTTAAAAGAATTGTGTTTTCCAGAACTAGACAGAACCAACCGTAAGAGTCTTGAGTGATCCTTGAGGTCTTGGAAGCATTGCGCTCTTATGTTAGGAGAGGAGAAATTGGCACTGTGGAATGTGAAGATTTTAACCCAGTCTTCCTTGTATAGCTGGCCGCTTATTATAAATCTGTTGTTTTTGAGCTCTGTCGAAAAATAACTCTTGTTTTTTTTTTTTTTTTTTCTAGAAAT